GGGGGGGGGGGGGGGCGTCCTTTGGTCGGCCCGCCGTGTGGTCGCAGCGGCGACATAGGTGTACATGTAGGCGGATCGCACCGCACCAACACTTGTTGTATATTGTAGTCGAGCGGAAGTTTCCGAAGAAGCGGAAGGCGTGGTGCGTCGAGCACGTATGGGCGTGGCCCTCTGTCTGGGTGGCGCCCTGCACTAGTGTGTTGCGACATTGATTTCCAATGGAACTTTGGGGTTGAGGAGATTCTTCCCGAGTTAGGCCTTTTTGACAGCATGCATGCATGTACGTAGTCATACTAGCCTTTTTCCTGGCACACCGTCAAGTGATTTTGATTATCGCACGAACTCGTTTTGTTGTGCGTGTTAACACTAGGCGAGATTGATTGGAACTCATGGCCGGCAATAACTGGCACTTGCGGCATGCTTTGAGGTGGCGATTAACCTCGACGCATGCTTCAGATATCCACGGGAGGCGGATCATCTGTTGACACCCTCGCGAACCGTTCATATCTGGGGAAGAAGGGCCAAAGCCGCATGATCTCGTCACACGAGCCGTAGTTTGTGGCGAACCGCGGTAAAACCTGCACAGGCTTGTGTGCTTTCCTCTGCTTCGATCCACTTGATCAAGACGGCGACACATCAAGTAAAACCACAAGATCACTTAAAGCACCATTTCTATTAAGACGGCAGCAACACAAAAGAATACCCACAGATGGGTACGTCGTCCGGCAAAGGAAGCTACATCAACGAACGGAAGAGACCAGCAAGTCTACCCTGATACAGGAAGCGACACCTCACATATTAATATGTCCATGTAAATGCCTACATCAGCTATCGTAATTACATACACACGAAGCCCCGAACGCGCGGGGGCACAACGCGGCAGTGTTTTCCATCCAACACCCCCAAGTAAACACCGTATTTCGCTCAAAGCCAATCACCGTGTGAGCAATTGTCCCTTCCACGTAAAGTGCCCACCATCGACATGTGCCACAGATACCCAATAAGTAGCCAGTGTTACCCTCCTAAGTCCCACGGCAATCTTTCTGTTTACCGAGGAGGGTCGGTTGGAGCGCCAGGCACGACGCCGTGCTGGACTCCACCCGCCGCCGCCGCAGCCGCTGCCGCCGCTGCTGCGGCCTGCTGCTGCTGCTGCTGATGTAGTGCTGCGGCCTGCTGCTGCTGCTGCTGCTCCTGCTGCTGTAATACTGCGGCCTGCTGCTGCTGCTGCTGTAATGCTGCGGCCTGCTGCTGCACTACCGCCGCCTGCTGCTGCACTGCTGCCGCCTGCTGCTGCAGCATCTGTTGCTGTACGGCCGTGGTCTGCTGCATATGTGCCGCACCGGCCTGCTGTTGCTGCTGCCGCTGCTGCTGCACTGCCGCGGCCTGCTGCTGTTGCTGATGCAGCATCTGTTGCTGTACGGCAGTGGCCTGCTGCAGCTGTGCCGCACTAGCCTGCTGTTGTTCCTGCCGCTGTACCGCTGCAGCCTGTTGTGACTGTACGGCAGTGGCCTGCGCCGCACGAGCCTGCTGCTGCTGCTGCTGATGTACTGCTGCGGCCTGCTGTTGCTGAACGGCTGTGGCCTGCTGCAGCTGCGTCGCACTGGCCTGCTGCTGTTGCTGCTGCTTAACTGCTACGGCTTGCTGCAGCTGTGCTGCTGCTGCTTGCTGCAGCTGTGCCGCACTGGCCTGCTGCTGCTGCTGCTGCTGTGCTGCTGCTGCTTGCTGCTGCTGTGCCGCACTGGCCTGCTGCTGTTGCTGCTGTTGTACTGCTGCGGCCTGCTGGTGCTGCTGCATTGCTGCCGTCACCTCGTGAGATGCAGCCGGAGCAATTCCCACCGACCTCGATGCCGCTTGAGATGCGGCATGGTGTGCCGCTAGCAGCTGCGCCGGTGTTGCGGGGGGAGGTTGCGGTTCTCCGGCCGCCCCTCGGGCGGTTGCCGCCCAAGCGTTCCTTGCCGCTGCCTCGATCTTCGCCTGAAAATCTCGCATCTGTTCCGGGGTGGCATGCTGCAAGCCCTGAAACCACAAAGGAAATCCTGCAGGGGGTACTGCGAGGTTGAGCCCCGCCGGCGCCGCCGCCGTAGTGAGCTGAGGGGCACTACCAGCAGCGCCATTCCCACCACCAACGCCAACGCCGGCTGCTGCTGAAGCGGCGGCCACTGCGGCCGCGACACCTTCTCGGGCCTGTCCTGTCGCCGGACTCGGGTGTTGGTACGCCACCGGCGCGGCGACAGGGGTGTTGGCGTCCGCCGCCGGCGTTACCCTCGCCGAGGCTTGCTGCGCCAGCGCAGCAGCTTGCGCGGCAGCAAAGTGCTGCTGATTGTGTATGGCGTGTGACAGAGCAGCGGCCGCCACGGTGCCCGTAGCCGGCGCGGGAACGGAGGCGCCCGTGAGTTGCGCCTGGGTCGTGTGTCGGGCGAAAAGTTGGTGAGTGTACGTCGGAGGAGGAGGAGCGGCAAGGACCGTAGGAGCCGGAGCCGGAGTCGGTGCCGTTGCTGGCGCCGATGACGGCGCCACTGCGGGCGCCGGAGGGGTCGCATACACGTGCGAGAAGCTTGCCGAGTGCGCTGGCGTTTGAGGAGCAGGGGCTGGGGCTGGCACCGCCGGCGTGTACGAATAACTCGCCGAGTGCGCCGCCGCCGCTACCGCTTGCCCGGTCGCGTGCTGTGCCAAATAGGGCGCCGCTTCGGTCGACTCGGGGACGATCATCGGATGATCCACCCGCGTAACCATGGTGCGGTGCGCTTTGCACTTCCCTTTGTGCATGCACGGCCGCATGCACAGGGGAGACAACGGGCACTGATAGAAGAACGACCACGCTCGGGGGAGGTCCCCCGGGAGCCGGCTTCCCCCCCGACGCGGGCGCGGGATGATGTCCCACCGAAGCGCCCGATCCAGCGCGAACACCCGAGTGGCGGCGGCGGCCAGCGACGAGCCGCCGCCCAGCCGGGGCTCGGCGAAATTCTCCGTCTTGTACCACTGCTCGAGCCAACCCTCCTCCCGGGGGATGGCGTAGTCCAGCTCCAGGGCGAGGATCGCCAGCTGCTCCGTCGCGTCGGCGCGCCGCACCCTCTCCCGCCAGTCCTCCAGATCCACCGGCATGGAGACCACCTGAACGCGCGGGGGCTCGGGGGCGGGAGGCGGCAACGTGATGGGTAACACAGCCCGCTGCTGCTGCTGCTGCTGCGGAGACTGCTGCTGCTCATTCTGCGGCTGCGTCGCTTGCTGCTCCGGTTTCGGCTGCACTTCGGCGGCGGCGGCGGTCACTTGTATCAACGCTTCCGGTTGGGCCGGAGGACGAACAGACGGTGCCAGAGTAGCCGGCGGTGACGACGGCGAGAGCCGCGGTTCGTCCACTTTCATTGCGGTTGGAGCCCCGGGCGCCAGCGCCGCCGGCACTGCCGCAAAAGACACGGGTGTCGCTGGTGCTGCTGCTGCTGCCGTTGCCCCAGGCTCTTGCGCAGCACAGCTGTTCGGCGTTGCTGCCGGCGTGACCACAGAATCGCTTCCCGAGACTGCTGCTGCTGCTGCTGCCGGTGCCGCTGCTGCTGTAGTAGCGGCTGGCTCTGGCGTCGACACCGCCATGTCGGACGGGTCGCCTCCCGACACCTCTGGGCTGTTCGTTGCGGGCGCCGCCGCCGACGCCGACGCCGACACCGCCGCCGCCGCCGCAACAGCAGCAGCAGCAGCAGCAGCAGCAGTGGCCTCCTCATCCACCGCATCAACCTCTTCTACTATCGCCTCATCCTCTCCCACCGCCCCGAAATCTTCTTCGTCGCTGCTCGACTCTACCGACGCCCACTTCCCTTGGGCCTTCCTCACGAACGGCTGATCGGGGATAACCGGCTCGGGAGCCACCTCCGGCTTCGCCGGCGACACCGGAGGCGCTCCCCCGGGTGCCGCCTCTGCGGCGCCGCTGCCCGGCCGGTCCCCGCTCAATCCCTCGGCGCCGGCACCGCCACCTCCGCCGGTGTTGGCCACATCCATGCCGATATCCACCACCTCATCCTCATCGTCGCCGTCTACGGCTGCCTCCTTGCCGCCGGCCGATGCCGCGGTGGCGGCGGAGGTGGCGGCTTCGGCCACTTGTGTCTTGTAGGCCTCCTGCTCCTCGACCGCCTCCTTCAGCGCGGCGGCGAGCTCCGGCGCGATCACCCTCGACGGCTGGAAGAACTCCCCCGGCGCCATGGCCACGGGCGAGATCGGGCGCTGTCCATCGGGGGCGGCGCCGGCCATTGCCCTGGCCCTCGCCTCGGTCGCAGCGGCGGAGGCGGAGGCGGAGGCGGCGGTGGAGGCGTCGTCGTCGTTCTCGTAGCCGGCCGGCCGCTGCCGGATTCTTCCTCTGGATGACACGGACCGGACGGCGTTTACGCGTTCCCACTGCTGCGGGAGGCACAGGGCTACGGCGAGCATCTCCACCTGCGGTGTCCAGGAGCATCGACCGGCGGCGAGGGAACGGGGGTGGGCATATGCCCGTACGCGCGTCGATTGGTGCGATCCGTTTATTTCAAACAGTGCTTTCGTGACAGATACGTGACCATTACAGGACAACGTGCAGCAGGCTGAACAAAAACAACGTTCCCCCTGGTAAGCCCGTTCCGGGTTACAGCACGGTGCATTGGAGCTGACCTGCGCAGCGAAGCTCGGACCTTCTTCTTCTTGTACCTCGTCGCAAATCGAAAAAAAAAAAGCGCGTGTGCCATACGTAGGTAGGCCCGACACACGTGGCATAAAAAGTCGTGCGCATTTGTCGAATCTGCACGACTGATGTTAGGACCAGAAGCGGGAGGCCGGTTCTTGAGAAAAAATAGCCAGCCCCATTCAACAAAACGCGTCATCCTTCCAACACAAGGCCAAACCACAAGGGCATCCCCGTCCGACCGTGCAACCACTCTTGCCAAAGCCGCAAGCAGCCGCTCTCGTTGAAATCAACAATCCGCCGCTCTTTTTATCCATTCTCACCTTGAGTTTCACCATCTCCGGAGACACGAGCCCAACCGGGGCTACAGACGGTTCCCAGTACGTTCTTGACGTGTTCAAGTCGTCCTCGTCGAACCCTGGCAACGAGGCTGAGCCAGGCCTGTACACGCGTACAAACGGTAGCAAGACACAAACATATCGGAGCATGGCGGGCACGAGACAGACAACAACAACAACACGCGAAAGTGAGAAGGGGTGATGATCCGTCCGTCCTTGGCGTTCAATGACATCTAAAACTTCAACAGGTTCCATATTCAAGACCATACCTTTCCAAAAGAGGCGTTGTCGTTGATAAAATAGGTCGACCATGTACAACCCGGGCGAGGCACGGAGCACGAAAAACAACACCGCCTTGCCCAGCCTGGGCACTAAAAAAAAAGGCCTCTGCCAAGGTATCTTCCCAAACAGTCGAAAAGCGAACAAATCGGAACACAGCAAAGAAGACAGCAGTGCCAGACCCACAGTCTTAAAAAGTGGCTCCGAGTCATGAAAGCGGCGGCACTTCCAACTCACCTCGGCGAAAGCGTTTCGGGGCCACCCTTACGGGTCTTGGCGGCCCCCTCCAAGGAGAGCGCCACGCTCATCCCCGGGGCAGCAGCAGCAGCCGCATTCCCTACAGCCGCTGGTCCACCACTACCACCCCCTACAGCCGCCGCCGCCTCTCTCACCACTCCTCCTCCTCCACTCGCCGCAGCAGCACCTACGCCGCCCTGCCCGCTCCCAAGCGCCAGGCCAGCGTCTCCGCCGCCGCCGCCGCCGCCGCCGCCGCCGCCGACGGCAAGCAGGTTCTGCTGAGGCCACGCCGGCGGCGGCGCCAGCGCGGCGGCCGCGAGCGCGTGCTCTCTCGCGGCCCTCCGCCTGGGGGCGGCGGCCGCCTCGACGGCATCGGCGGCAGTGGCGATCGCGGACGGGCCCCCGGCGGCCAGGCCCTCGACGTCCTTGCGCTTCTGCGCGGGGGTCCGCATGTCGGGCGGGTGGAGCATGCGGAGGGCGCGGGTCTCGGCGGCGATGTCCCGCGTCGCGGCGGAGAGGGTGGTGCGCACCCAGCCCTCGCCGTCCGCGTTGTCCGCGGGCTCGTCCGCGAGGTCCCTTTTGAGGCGGTGCTTCTCCATACGGAGCTGTGTGCGTCGAGACGAAGTGTGGCGTATTGGGGGGGGGGGGGGGNNNNGGGGGGGGGGGGGGGGGGGGGGGGGGGGGGGGGGGGGGTTACACGAGAGTAGGAGTGAAAGAGGCAGAAAGGCATGGATAGTCTACACACAGAAACGTGGCGAAAAAAAAAAACGGCAGAGGGACGAGCCGAAAAAAAAAAGCGAACCCACACACGCCAACGAAACAATAACGCTTAGCGGAGGTGTAACATGGCCAGTACACACTAGCCATTCGGTCCATCCAATGCGAAAATCTTGCTGTACCACTGGCGGCGATGGTAAAGAACGGGGCGGCAACGCCGCGGGCGGAACTCGTAGCTACCGCTGCACAAAATCAACAGCAAACAAAACACATGAAGCAAAGAGAAAACGCAGAGCAAACAAGAGGCCAACCTGTAGATGTAGAGGATAAGATCGCACGAACACACAACGTCAACGTATTGTTCATTGGTCAGACGGGATTTACTCCTAGTCGTGCATGCCGTAGTCGTTAGACCATTGACCTCGCATCCCTACAAAGCCGGGACGGAGCACGCCGGGTTCTCACCGGACCAGGCTCTCACATCACCAAGCGCGAAGCGCCGTGAGATATTCGGCGAGTCGCATTAAGGGTGCGCTGCATCCTGCTAAGGGTGTTCGGCATCTTGAGGGTAGGGCTAAACCGAAGGATTACGCACACACACCATTTTTCAATCGTACTGAGACTGACGTGTTTTCACTATTCAGCCTGTTAGCGCGGTGTCGACGCTAACAATTAACACACACACACAAACACACACTCACCCGGTCGATATCCCCGTTGCGATACGCCGACTCCACTGCCTTCATCCTCTCGTCGTCATACGTCTCGAGGTACTCCCCGAGACGCAGCTCCACCGACCGGGCGAAGAGCCGCTGCTGGCGGATGCTCCCCAACACGAAGCGGTGGTCGGCCGCGACGTCCCCCGACCCCGCCGCCTTCACCGGCAGGAACTCCTCGAGAGATCGGCACTCCGTCGCGAGCCACGAGTCTCGAGCTTTGTGGCACTGCCGTTTAAGTTTTTTCAATGCGAGAGAGGGGTGAAACATTGTTTGATCTGGTTTGGATTTGTTTTTCTTTCAATTATGGCTTGTTCGGTCATGGTGAACATACGCGTTCGTCCAATCCTGCAGAACTACGCTCGTATATGTAGTACGTCATGTTTTAGAGGAGGGGGTGCCGCGCCGCCGTTGTTGAAAAAAAAAAAACTCAGTGGCCTTCTCCCGCAGCACCGTGCTCGGACGGCACGAGCTTTCGCCGCAGCAGAATCCACCGCCGCCGCACTTACCGTTTGCCACTGCGAGGGCCCAAGCACCCTCTCAAGGTGGCCGCGAATGCGGTCCGCCTCCTCCTTCCTCCTGTCCTCCAGGTTGGTGGTGGCACCACCCTCGCCCTTCCTACCGGACTTCGACCCGCCCCACACCCCCCATCCGCCGCCGCCGCCGCCGCCCTCCGCCCTTTCCTTCGCCGCCTTCTGTGCTTTCAGGTACAGGTCCACCTTATCCGACACACCCCACACGTCCACCGCCTCGTGAAGCCTGGACATTTCGGGACGGGACGGGACGGGACGGGACGGGGGGGTTCGCCGCAACGAAGAGAATTGATTCGGGGGGGTGGGGATCAGTACGCGTGTGCGCAGTCGCGTTCTCCGCCCTGAAGCTGAAGTCACGTCCCGGCAAGAGTCGAGAAGGACAGCACATCGCGTCTAGTGCCTGGGAAAATAGTGTAATACTCGTCGCTTTCACGCTCGCATGCCGAGTACAGCAGTAGCGGGAGATGCTACCCATCTCTGCCTAACAGCAAGGGACGCCCAGTGTCGCCAGCCAGCCAGGGGAAAGGGGGGCGCGCACCTCGGGCAGAAAGAGGGGGGAGGGGGGGGGGGGGGGGGGNGGGGGGGGGGCATGGCTGTACAACGCCACCCTATGTCCCATGATGCATAAACGTTTGGATACTAACTGAATGGGCCGGTCAACATATGGAAGGGGACCCAAACTTCTCTGCAGGGAACACCATATCGTGTGGGACTTGGTGACCTACACGAAGCTTCCATTCCAATAAAAACCTCATCCGTAGCTCTACGGATAGCTTGACGTTGTCGGCCCTGAAGGCCGCCTGTGTCCCACTTGTTGTATCAGGTGTCGCAAACACCAACGCTGTTTCTTGCTTGTGTATCTACAGGTAAACGGCAACAACACAGCAACAGCAGTGCCACAAACCTATTTCGAAGATTCCTCTCGTTGTCTATGTCCATGTCCAAGCTGCGCACCAGCTCTTGCATCTGGCGAACCAAGAAAAAAAACACAAGCCACCACGAAGAATCGACAGAGGGGGAGAACAACAGCAGAACGATTGACGGTGTTGTGTTATACTTCCTCTGTCACATAAGTAAAGTCCGTTATGATTACACGGCCATTTAGCCGTGTCCGATGTCTTACGCGATACTTTTTTTGAAATCTTGAGCGTTTTACGGGTTGAAACCCATATTTCTTTTTTTTTCTTGCGCACTACCCTGCATGCACTAGCGGCTTACAAAAAAGTAGTCAGGCCACAAAAGGCCGTATTTTGCCCCTTTCCATGAGGGTGGGCGTGGGGGCACGAAACGAAACATACCAAAGAGACAAGAATTATCCCGAACCCTAAACCCAAGGTTACCTCTACTGAACGATCCATTTCGCGTCCTCCCATACAAAAACCAACATAGTAGTGAACCCACACTAAAATCAAGACATTTTCGAGGCCCACACTAAAACCAAGACACTTGGGGGCGCCACACTAAAATCAAGTTACTTGCGGGGCAAAGCCGACAGGTGTAGGGTCCTAACCCTACCCCCCCCTTGCACTCAACGACCCATGTCGCGTCCGCCCAATGTTTTGTGGGGTAATCACTACCAACGCCGTACCGCTCGGCGAGGGGGCCTAGAAAGCCCTTGGGTACCCTTTCTTTGCCCGGCGGAATCGCCAACGCTATCTCCACCGCCATGGCGTACCGACGACCCAACGATACTTCCGCACCCCGCTTACGACGTGGGGGTGTCTGGGCGTCGTCCCCCATGATAGCTACGTCGTTGTGGTGGTAGTGGGTGCTCACACAGCACAAAGCTGCAAATATTTTTTAATACATTCTCAAAATGTTTTCAAAATATTCCCAAAATATTCGCAAAATAGTCCCGTATTTGACACACTAATTCTCAGTAATTG